TTAAGGTCAGTAAATTTGAAGTGATGGTAAGAGCACAACAGGGCTGCCTAAATTCACTGATGATATTTATGATTTCTTTGAAATGGACCACGTAGGAGACTGCGTGATGCGAGAACATAGGAATACGATGGACCGATGAGAAGACTCACAAAAACCTCAATGTCGTAGGCGACTTGTGTCTACTATCAGTTAATTCGAAGACATACAGGCTTAACCAACACACCGGAAGGAAACATTGACAGGGAAGGCAGGAATACAAGTGAACGTACAGAGGAGGAAGGTGACAATGAAAAGCAACAAACTGACAACAGCAAGTATCAATCACTGTCAAGGGAAGAAATTTGAAGTAGGTCAATTCCTGGACTTATCTAGAAAGCATTGTTCCAGCTGCAGGCAACAGCATGAATGAGCATGTCAAAACTAGAATCAGAAAGTCAAGATACATCTTCGTCACTATGAAAGCTGTTTGGAAATCTTCTGTATCCAGCACAAAGAATAGAATTCTGATTTTCAACACCAATGTTAAATCGGTCAGTCAGTTCTTCCATATGGACAAAGCAAGAACTACAGTTTTAGCAGAATAATGTGGTACCATCATTTATTTCGTTGGCTTCTCATCAGCTGCTTACAGCCTAAATAAATTATGAGGTTTAAGTACAGACATGTTTCAACATACTTGCAAATTTTACATGTTGTCAGTTGACAGAAAATTCCACAATTTGTAAACAGTGCTCAGAAGTTTGCGCTTATATAGTTTTCACACAGGCAGTTCAGGTTAAAACAAAATAAATGTATGCAGAAAATGGTAAGAGAGTTACGTAATAAAGATGAGATATGCGTTAGATGCATAGTGACTAGTAAGTTAGGTAACAATGAACTGAGTTGAGCTCTAATCATAGAAACAAGAGACAAACAAAATTACAGATTATAGAAAGGGAGGGTGAGAATAGAGACAAAGATTACGTAATCAGATGAGAGAAAAAAAGCATCCAGTTACCAAGGCAAGGAAAGACTAATAACTGCTTCTTTCTGAACACATAGATCAGGTTTCAAGCGTTTGATAGAAATCGCTTCAGCAAACTTAAGGAGAATTGAGCTCTTTTGCCTATTGATAATTTTGAACGACTTTTCGACGTCCACCTCATGACCCGTGTCGAGGAGATGCCTGGCGATGGCACTGTTTAGAGCATTTGTTCCCTTTAGACGTAAGCTTTTTGGTACGTGTTCAGAAAATCGTAGATATGCCCTTCTTTCTGTTCTTCCAATGTAACTGCTCCCGCAGATACACGTAAATTTGTATATACAGTTGGAGGTAACATGAGAAGGATATCTATCGATTTTTGATTGCACCAAAGAGCAAGTTGTTCGATAGATGGGAACGAGCTTGGCTGCAGGATAGGCTATGGCTAGTGATGTACTCAGCCTTCTGTTGATCATCGCTGCAATGTTTTCACCTTTATAGTCAAGCTGAACGTAGACTGGCTTTTTACCCACTGTGGTTTGTTTTACATTTGTGACTTCAGATCTTCCATACTTGTTGATGAACTTTTGAGGATACCCATTTCTCTTCAATATCTTTTCAAGGAACACCAACTCCTCCTCTAGTTTCTCTATAGAGCATATTCTCCTCGCTCTATAGTACAGAGTCTTGACTAGACCCCGTTTAAAGCTATTTGGACAAAAGCTGTTAAAATGCAAGTATTGTCCTTTCCATGTGGGCTTTCGATAAATTGATTTTTGAAGACTACCATCTTCTAGGCGTTCCATGGCGATGTCGAGGAAGTGAAACTTTCCGTCACTTTCATGTTCCATAGTGAAATCAATATTGGCGTGTGCACCATTGAATAATCTTAGTAAGTGTGAGGCATGGCTTTCATTTTCGCACACTATAAATGTGTCATCTACATAACGACAGTAGGAAGATGTTTCGTCAATTGCATGTTTCAACTTTGTTCTTTCGAGGTTTGACATGAATATATCTGCTAGAACAGGGCTGAGTGGACTGCCCATAGCTACACCATCTATTTGGCGGTAAAATGTGTTGTCAAATTGGAATTGCACATCCATGGTACACATAAGCAGTAGGCGTTTGAATTCCGATTCTGGGAGTGGGAGAAGATCGGACTGCTGACAAATGATCTCAACAGTTTCATTGATTGGAATCATTGTGAATAGGGAGGTTACATCAAATGACACCATGAATTTATTTAGAACGTTCATGTGGTTCACACTTTCAGAGAAATGAAATGAGTCTTTCGCCGTGTGCACGCCTAGCCGTTGACGAATAGGTTCCAACTTCTCCGCAAGCCAACGTGCCACCTTATGTTGGGGCGAGTTGATCTTCTCCCACTCCCAGAATCGGAATTCAAACGCCTACTGCTTATGTGCACCATGGATGTGCAATTCCAATTTGACAACACATTTTACCGCCAAATAGATGGTGTAGCTATGGGCAGTCCACTCAGCCCTGTTCTAGCAGATATATTCATGTCAAACCTCGAAAGAACAAAGTTGAAACATGCAATTGACGAAACATCTTCCTACTGTCGTTATGTAGATGACACATTTATAGTGTGCGAAAATGAAAGCCATGCCTCACACTTACTAAGATTATTCAATGGTGCACACGCCAATATTGATTTCACTATGGAACATGAAAGTGACGGAAAGTTTCACTTCCTCGACATCGCCATGGAACGCCTAGAAGATGGTAGTCTTCAAAAATCAATTTATCGAAAGCCCACATGGAAAGGGCAATACTTGCATTTTAACAGCTTTTGTCCAAATAGCTTTAAACGGGGTCTAGTCAAGACTCTGTACTATAGAGCGAGGAGAATATGCTCTATAGAGAAACTAGAGGAGGAGTTGGTGTTCCTTGAAAAGATATTGAAGAGAAATGGGTATCCTCAAAAGTTCATCAACAAGTATGGAAGATCTGAAGTCACAAATGTAAAACAAACCACAGTGGGTAAAAAGCCAGTCTACGTTCAGCTTGACTATAAAGGTGAAAACATTGCAGCGATGATCAACAGAAGGCTGAGTACATCACTAGCCATAGCCTATCCTGCAGCCAAGCTCGTTCCCATCTATCGAACAACTTGCTCTTTGGTGCAATCAAAAATCGATAGATATCCTTCTCATGTTACCTCCAACTGTATATACAAATTTACGTGTATCCGCGGGAGCAGTTACATTGGAAGAACAGAAAGAAGGGCATATCTACGATTTTCTGAACACGTACCAAAAAGCTTACGTCTAAAGGGAACAAATGCTCTAAACAGTGCAATCGCCAGGCATCTCCTCGACACGGGTCATGAGGTGGACGTCGAGAAGTCGTTCAAAATTATCAATAGGCAAAAGAGCTCAACTCTCCTTAAGTTTGCTGAAGCGATTTCTATCAAACGCTTGAAACCTGATCTATGTGTTCAGAAAGAAGCAGTTATTAGTCTTTCCTTGCCTTGGTAACTGGATGCTTTTTTTCTCTCATCTGATTACGTAATCGTTGTCTCTATTCTCACCCTCCCTTTCTATAATCTGTAATTTTGTTTGTCTCTTGTTTCTATGATTAGAGCTCAACTCAGTTCATTGTTACCTAACTTACTAGTCACTATGCATCTAACGCATATCTCATCTTTATTACGTAACTCTCTTACCATTTTCTGCATACATTTATTTTGTTTTAACCTGAACTGCCTGTGTGAAAACTATATAAGCGCAAACTTCTGAGCACTGTTTACAAATTGTGGAATTTTCTGTCAACTGACAACATGTAAAATTTGCAAGTATGTTGAAACATGTCTGTACTTAAACCTCATAATTTATTTAGGCTGTAAGCAGCTGATGAGAAGCCAACGAAATAAATGATGGTACCACATTATTCTGCTAAAACTGTAGTTCTTGCTTTGTTCAAATTCATTAAGGGGAATAAATGTATGAAATCTTCCATATGGGACAGAAACCTGCAGTGCGCGTCACGAAACCTATTTCCAATACTCTTCAGACTTTCACCAACAGCTGCATCTGCTGGCTGTATACGGACCCGCGTCACCCAGTGCCACCTGCAGTCTACTGAGCTATTCGGAGATAGCAATTGACCTCCTGTAGGATTGTAGTGGATATTTTGATTTGACACTAGTAACTAGTGTGATGTGTCTAGTCCTTTATTTGGTGCAGACTGATTTCTATCAGTCAGGTTTTGCAATATAGCCACCATTCTAGGTAGCTCACCATTCATCACGGTGCACATTGATTTGATGGTATTAGATGGTTAGAGGCAATCGGCAGGAAGCCTTGGACCTAGGTTTTGTACTAGGTGGCACGAAGATTTGGACCATCTTGAAATGAAATCACCTCATAAAAGGATATCTTAAGAAATTCAATAGACGATTCTGGAGAATTAACGGCAATGAAAACAATGTTGTTGTAGTCTAGAAAAGGACCGTATCTATCCAATAATTCTAATGATATTTCAATGGCTCTATAAGGACAATGAGCGAACCAGGCCCTAGAGTGAAATGTATATGGGAAACAATGAGTGCGACTTCCATGGGTGGTAAGGAGGAAATTGTGTGAGAAGTAGATGAGAGACTACTGGTCATCGTGGAGCCAGCTAAACGTGACCACAGATAATAGGACAAAGTCGAGATGTGTTGTTGAAGCCTTATGTTGTACTAGGAACCCAAGGGAATATTTATAATAATTATAATAATAATGGCATAGGACCGGCTAGAAAACTAGTGAACTAGTAAACTAGGCGAGGTTAAACTGATTAATCAGCTTGATTACTCATAAAGTAAACATAATTTACGATTGCATGTTTATACATTCATTCACCGATGGATTATTTATATACATACATCTGCCTGCAATAAACGCTGTTATATGTATGCATAATTCATCAACAAAATCGATTAAAATATCAATCGATCAACAGCCAATATTGGATTGGCTAAATTAAATCGCCCACAATAACTATAACATACCTATCATGTAATATTTCAATGAATTGGAAATATATTATCCTATACTGTATTACTATCCAAGTATGCATTGTATTACGCAGTTCAGGTTAGCTTTCACCTTTTCAATTATTCACTGAATGTGTATTTAAACGAAATCATATAAATTTGCTATTTTCATATAACAGAGGTTAAATGGAGATTATTAGTGAGGAGTGTTAAAACCTCATAAAGAAGAGAAATAACTGAAATTTCCTGGTTAGATTACAAGGGATTAGTAGTCAACGGGTACTTGTTTTCTGGTCTATTGAGACAAACACTACGGAAAATTCTGGGAATTTATTTTAAGTAGTTTCATTTATCAATTGTGTGAGTGAATACCTCAAGTCTTCTTTTATGAAACGTGAGGCTGGAGACCGTTGGTGACATGGTTCAACTGAGAATGCATGGAAAAATGATCCGATTTCAGTTAAAAATAAAATTTCATTATGCTTATAATCGATTGTGTTGTAACGGAATTGACTTGAGTAAAGCTGACCACATCACCAAAACATGTTCTAACAGAGTGTTACTGATTTGTGGTTGTCGCACCTAAATTGTCTTGATTGCGCCTCCAGATACAACACACTAAGACCAGCTGATCACTTGAAAATATTACCTCACACTGAGATAAATAAAAATAAATGATAGATATCTGGTAAAATTCGCAGAAGTTGGAATTTATGGGTCATAAATCGAGTCCCAGCAGTTCAATGGTGTACGAGCCAGCTCGCCTTGTAATTAGAAGGTTCTTTGTTCAAACCCTGTCAGTGGGTGTGTACGGATGAAGAGTCCCAAACTAGGCTGACGAAACAGCTATCCAGTACTCCCTGCAGGTTTTCAAATAGTTCTCTAACCGACGTCAGCTCATGATGAAATCCTGTAACCAGATATCTGGCGAACTGTATGACCTTGTAAATCAGGTGAAGTTCAACAATAGCGTCCCAGGAGTGTGAACATTCCAATGACCTTGAATGCATGCTAGTCGTTGGCTAACGGCATCTGTCATTATCATAGCTGAAACATCAACGCTATTCACCAACTTATCAGCAAATTTCACCTGGATCATTATTTAAGTACCGTTCGAACAATGCGTTAATAGCTCGTTAGGTTTAGGATTAGGGCTAAGTTAAGTATTGGGGTTAGGGTTAGGATTAAGGTTAGGGTTAGTGTCAGGGTCACGACTAAGCTTATGGTTACGATTGGCGATACATTTATAGTTGATGTCATTTATTTTAGTTTGTTTTATTATCCACGTTTTCCTGGTAAGTAGTAGTCGTCAATCCTCTGGCTGGAAACCATAAAAATTCAACCGAGGGCTTTTTTGGAAGACTGCAAGCAGGATGACAGGGATAAACGATTCACATGTAGAGAAACTAGTATAATTTAGCAACTGATACTCCTCGTTATAACTAGGAAGTATTTTCAGGCCATGTCAGAGAAGGATAACCTGTTTAATGCGTTTCCAAGCGTTTTATTCTCAATATACATCATTTTTGAGTAAACATTCCTCGTTTTTATGATTGGCTAACTGAAGGTTACTCGTGAGTTCATACACCTGGGACGCTATTGCTGAACTTTACCGTAAATCCTTCAGAAATAAACCAATCAGGCTATCATGTCAGTGTTTATACACCAACTATGACTTCACAAGAAACAAGGATAGATTGTTAGTCCTAAGAATTCATATGTGCATTTTAATAAGTGTGGCAAATTGAACTACTACACTTTTGTGCATTATCGTAACACTGGGAATTCAGTTAAGGATGTCAAACAGTGTCAAAGGAAATAACTTATTCCGCTTAAAGCTGCCATTTTGTACCATCACGGAACTTATTAATGATTTGTGAAACCTTTCCTTTAGATATTTTGTTGTAATGTCGATTCCGTTAACCTCAAAGGGTTGAATGCGATTCTGAAGTACGTTTTCCTGGAATTAAAATGTTATGTTTCAAGTAGCATTACACAAGACATAATAAACGGATATCAAGTCGTCTTTTCGGCTGAGATATCACTTATATATAATACAAGTGATGGCACATATCTTCAACATATCGATCGCTGTGAGACTGTATTTAATCGAAGAAGTAACTCTGTAAACAATGGCGTGCACATTTCTGAATATCGGAGATTCTTTAACAGCCACACGAAACAGTCTCTGATGAGTTCACTGTGACTTCTACATTTAGAAGGGATAATGAATGGAAATATTTAAAAAAGCATTTTCTGTTGTGTAACAACCAAAACCGACTCCTTGTGGTCTGAAACACAGGAAACCACTCTCTGTGACCTACTGTAAAACTGACAAAAGCTTCCTTGAGATACACACACACACAGTTACGAAATGCTCCATAGACAGTGAAAAGACGATTATTCATGGTTAGATCTGTATGATGCTGTTGAACAATAATAATAACCAACTATTGATTTGTAGGGATTTCATTGATTTGTTATAGGATTTCATCATGAGCTGACATCAGTTAGAAAACCAGTGAAAAACCTGGGAGTACTGGACAGTTAGTTTGGGACTCCTCAACAGGATGCACCCACCGCCAGGGTTAGAATCCAGGACCTTCTGGTTACAAGGCAAACTTGTAGGGCACAGCAAGTCGGATGTGAAGACGAATATTCGCCGGTGGGTGCGTGCTGCTGAATAGTTCCAGACTAGGACGATGGGAATAGCTGTTCAGTACTCCCTGGTGTGTTTTCAATGGTTCTCTAACTGATGTCAGCTCATACTGAAATCCTGTAACAAACGATAATATAGAAAACTCAAAATTACCTCAACAGTCTTGTTAGGCAGCTACAGAATCTACAGAAATTCCAAGTGCGACACAAGCAATGTAGAAGAAAATTAGTGAACCGAAACTCAACTGTAAGAAGTACCTGAGAATCAAGTAGAGTATTCCCAACAAGGTTTGATGAAAAATCACTCCCGACGAGAATCACACACCAAACAATTCCTCAAGACAATCAAAGATCAGAATGACTTTCATTTACTCGAACAAAATCCCATCATAAAACAACACACCGTCAGTGTATCGCACAAGCACAAGGAGAAAGAGAAGACGTTCAGCGAAGAGACTCTTTTCGGCGAATTCATTCACATAGCTGTACCCTGAATGTTCAATTCTCTTTCAACAACGAAATATATCGCCAAAAGGATGGTATAGCTATGGGCTCACCACTAGGCCCATTACTTGCAGATTTCTTCATGGCAAAACTCGAAAACACATGCATGAAGAAAATGATCGATACCTTCGGAATCTACAAGAGATACGTCGACGACACTTTCATTATCGTCAACAATGAAGAGAATCTAGACGACATCCTGAAGTCGTTTAACAAGTGCCACCCCGCAATTCAGTTCACGCTGGAGAAAGAGTCCAACTCTAAAATATCCTTTCTTGACATCCAACTAACAAGACGAGAACACGATGGAACACTGAAAAGATCTATCTACAGAAAGTCAACATGGAACGGACAGCTGATTAACTTCCACAGTTGGGTACCCCTATACACCAAACGGAACCTGATCCGTTCACTTAGCAACAGAGTTCGCAGAATTTGTACCCCGGACACCGTAGAAGATGAACTGGACAATCTCAAGAGAATCCTCGTCGAGAATTGTTACCCAGAACGATTTATTGCAAAATCTATGAATCCTAGGCCACAAAAGCCGCCCACGCATAGCGTCCCGAAGAAACCGCTCTACATAAACCTTCAATTCAATGGAGATATATCTGCGGAAATACTAAAAAATCGACTGTCGCGCTCACTCAAGAAGACTTTCTTCGCAGCTGAACTACGACTAACTTTCTCCACAAAACCTATGATTCATGTGAACGTGAAGGATAAGCTACCACTGTTGGCCTCATCAATGTGTATCTACCAATTCACCTGCTCGTGTGGAGCCAGGTATGTCGGCCGTACCCAGCGTTCGCTTTCCAAGCGTATCACCGAACACTTACCAGCATGGTTTTACAAAGGAGAAAAGCGATGTCCCCGCAGCTCCATCTTAGAACACCTGATAGAATCCGGACACCAAGCTGCACCCCAAACAAACTTCAAAGTCGTCTACAGAGTAAGAAGTAGTCTTCCAAAAGGTGTACGAATCAGACTTCTTCAAACTGCAGAAGCAATGGCGATTCACTTGCTAAGCCCTGAACTCTGCATACAGAAGAGGTTCGTTCAATCACTAAACTTACAATGGACTTAACCTACATTATTACCTGAAAGGTAAATTCTACCTAATTTTTTTTTTCTGTCTCTTCATTGGTATTATTCTGTCTTCTCAATTGTAATATTTTGCATTTTCAACTTTCTTGTCTCTACCCCTACCCGATTTAATTTCTACACCTCACTACCACTTTAATTGACCTGACCAACGCTCAATTTATAGTCATTTATGTTACGTCATCCAACTTAATTGCTCAATTTCATTTCTAATCTAAATGGCATTATTATCTACCCCACTTCTACTTAGTCTCTACCTGTAATTACCTCTGTTGCTAACCTGACCTAAGTTAAAACATTTTAGTCAATTGTATTACGTCATCTAACTTACTAACTCAATCTTAATTTAGTTGCTGTCCAATTAACTTTGTTTCTATATTAGATCATTCTTTTATTACCTGATCAATTATCTAATTTTGACAAACCTCATGTACACACACACACTCAAATAATTATATATAAATGCGATTGTACAGCTATGTGAATGAATTCGCCGAAAAGAGTCTCTTCGCTGAACGTCTTCTCTTTTTCATATGACTAAATGGGGATTTTCAAGATACAAGGAGAAACGTTAAAACTTGAGACTGAATAGCGACAAAGACAAATAATAAGGATCAAGTCAACAGATTATATCTACCGAAAGCTACTACGTTGACATGGTGGTCGGGCTTGAACACCGCAATGACCTAATCAAGCTATACTGGCTGAGACTTATGTCGCTTGAGGTCCTACCATGCCAGAAAGGTTGTTTGGATAGCGGTTAGACAAAAAGCAGCTACCCACTTCAATACTATGATTAAAACAAATTCACAAAATATTATGCCGGATCGGTCG